CAAAAAAGTCACTAAAAATGACATTAAAAACTCATAAACATTGTTCAAATCTTCTTTCAATGCTCCAGGCCTTGTTGCCTCCTTCAAAATCAACTTCCCCTCTTTTGTTCATGCTTCCACTTGGCCTACTGACCTGACCTTCTCTCCCTCTGTTCCTAGAATTGAACCCCCACCCAACCACTCCATGCACCTTGGCTGAGATCTTGCCACAGAATGGGGAGAAGGGGTTGGGGGCCCTTGAGGACTTCATCTCTCAAGTCATGGTTACCCTCACTGCACCTAAGGGGTATCACTGCTCATCCCAACTGCTGACAAACCCCATTCCCACTCCTTCTGCCACTGAGTTAGCCCCATTCATGTCAGGCCTCAGCTCCCACCATGCCTGTCTCCCATGACACCTTCCTAGCACTGCCTCAGACACTCAGAACTAAATGAGATAAGGCATGACCAAAGGCTTAACAACCAACACGACAATAATAAGATCATTAATGGTTATTGAATACCTCCTCAGTGCCTGGCTCTGGACCCAGCACATTACATTAATCATCTAATTTAGTGCTCCAACAGGCACAAACTACTCCTACTATCCCCACTTAGGGTGGGTTATGAGACTGGCCTGAAGTCCTACAACCACTCAGTGGAAGAGCCAGAATCCAAACCTCTGAATCCTGGGTCTGTGCCCCTAGTCACTACTCTGTCCTGTCTCCCTAGCAGGGGACCCAGCAAATGGTAAGTGTCCAATAATTATTAGTTACTGCACTGAGTCCCAAGGAATAATCTTCTTTTCATTGTTCCCATTACTCTTGCAATCTGAGTCTCCAAATTCATTGCTCAGTTTAGAATATCAGTTAATTTTCAGTTAGTTTTTTTTTTTTTTTTTTTCCTGCACCTGGCTGGGCACCCACAGGCAGCTCAGTCCCAGGCTTTCTACATGGAGTCATAAGGTCTCTGTCTTTAGGCTCTTGAGTCCATTTGAAATCTGCCAGGGAATCTATCAGTGGCCTTGTATCTGGCGTCTGGCAAACTGGGGTCAGTCTTGAAATCCTCAGTCATGGCCTTCTGCTTATCACACGCTTCAAACATCAGGATCCTGACTGCTCTGATACCTTCAGGTCCAGCTCCAATCCAATCCCATTTTGGCTTCCCAGCCTCAGCTCCACCTGATTCCAGCCTCAGCCATCCTAAAATCTTGGCATGACTTGGGCCTTCCACAACTCAATTTATGGCTGGGACTGAAGAAATGTTGTGATGAAGGTAGCATCAGTAAGTAAGATCTGCACATGGAAGTGTGTGTTGTCAAACACCTCTGAAAGAGGAACTGTGTGGCCACAGTTCAGGAATCAGCATTGGGAAAACCACGACTTGTGGTAAACCATGTCTTCACTGCCCCTACACAAAACCAGCTGTGATAGGTCCCATGCTATGCGCCAGGGAATTACACTATGACTCTTCTAATTCTATTTCCAATTCCCATAACAACCCTGCAAGTTAGGTATTGCTACCCTCACTCTACAGGAGAAGGAGAAGCTCAAGTGTACAGTGGATCTGTGATGATGTTTTTGTCTGCTCACAATTCATTGTTTCTTCTAATACTAGTACCCTGACTTCCCTTTCCCATGTATACAGTCTTCATGAACTCCATTGCCAAGAGACAGGCGTGTGATACAAGCTCGGCCAATTGGACTCTCTTTCTTTGGAGCCTGAATGTTAAGATGAGGAAGACAAAGATGGGAAATGATTGAAGAGGGTTTATCCCAGCAGGATGCCCAAAGAGACCTCATTACTTTCTGCAGTCTAGAGGCCAGGAGCTGCTCAGCCCCCAACCTTTCCAGGACCCCTTGTTAATTCAGCCTTTGCTCTGATATCCTAAACCGATCCATATCCTCCTAACGTTAACTAGCATCTATTTTTGTTGCTGGAAACCCCAAACCTCCACCTGATAAAGGGACATTCATTCATTTGTCTACTGAAGAGTTCTTGAGCACATTCTCTGTGTGAGGCTCTGTGCTTGGTGCTAAGGGTGTTGCCACAAGCAGGACAGAGGTTTCAATAATCAGCAAAGGCAGTCATTCATTGCACTTATGATAAAGGTTTTAGAATAAGGAGCTCATCCTGGGTAACACACAGGTCCATTCCTTAGCTTGGCATCAAGATAGCTTGTCCCATATTCCACACTATTTTATAGGCCTGCGTGGTTTATACACACATTAATCAGGTATCATTCAAAGGGATTCTTTTCTCCACCACTGCACTAAACGGTGGCACGAAAAAGTGCCACATATTTAAACACACAAGTACAATTTCCTCAGAAATTCTTCTATTGATTTGGCTAATCCATTCTTTCTTGGGAACTTTGTGGAGGAAAGTTTCTTAGAGTCAAAAGAATCTCATATGGTGAATCAGGAGACTTGACTCAATTTGTCGTTTTATTACAAATTTCCATTGTGATATTAGACACGTTAGTTATCCCAAGTGAGTCTCAGTTTTCCCTTATATAAACTCAGAAATAGTTCAGATGATCTCTGAGGCTCTTCTGCTTTGATATTTCTAAATATCTTCTTCAAGCCCCTGGAATTAAGAGAGAAAAAAAGTTGCTTCTCCCTGTGATTTGAGGTTCTGAATGGCATCAAAAGAGTTAAACTCTGCAGTACTTTGCAACATTGATTAAAAAAACCTGTGTATTTTAATTTCTAATAAAAAAATCAAGCAGGTATGAATAGCAATAAAATTGCTCAAAAATTGTTCAAATTGAAGGGAAACAATTGGAAATGGATTTGGAAATATAATGTTTAGCTAAGCAAGCTATAATGTTCTGTTATTTTAATCAGCATTGTAAAGTAATTTAAATGATGCAGGAATAGACTTTTATACTTTAATATATAATCACTTTTTTCAATGCATTCATCAAAAGGTATTTCATGTTAATGATTCTATAGCTGACGACAGACACCAGCAATAATGGTCTCTCGCCTGCTCCAGGTATATGTTTGCAGGATTTAGATTTGACTTTTATTTCCACTCTTCCCGCCTAGCCTTAAAGAAAAATTTCTGCAATTTTGGAAGAAAATTCATATTACTTAATGTTGCAAAGATAGAAAAAATTAGAAAAGGAAATCTAGGACATTTCCTCAATATTGTTTCTTCTATAACACTAGAAAGTTGGAGCAGATTACAGGGGTTATCCCAACAACTCACCTGCCTTCAGGCCCCTAGAATGCAAACAGATACAAACGTGGCTTTTTGTTTAAAAATCTTTTACAAAGAGAGATGAGATTCTGTCACCCTATAGCCATTTTGTCTGTGTTAAATTAATGTTTATTGAAAATGGAAGATTTGTATGAATTAAATGCTGAAAAGTAGATTTCTTTCTACTTAGGGGCTGATGTCTACCATTATCAAATGGCTCTCTCATAAAGTTTTTTTAAAAGAATAACTTGAAATTTTCTTGCTGCAGCTTAAGTATTTATCGTGTCCTTATGTCCTTGCTGGAGAAGGGAATATAAGACAGCTGAAGGACATGTTGCTGTTCCCAGAATGGTGATGCAATCCAAGGATTTTGGGGGCCTGGACTTGTGTTTCCAAGGACTTTCCTTTCACCCAAAATAAAACATGCTTTTGATGCCTCTTGCTTTGCTTTTGCCCATGTTGGTACTTGTTCAATGTGAGAAATCAATCTGTCCATCCATCTCTCCACCTATCCATCCATCCACCCATGCACCCATTCTCTCATCCATCCATCCATCCATCCATCCACCCACCCACCCACCCACCCATCTGTCCACCCATCGATCCATCCATAAATCTACCCACTCATCCATTCATCCATCCAATCACCCACCCATTTATTCATTAATCCACCCATCCATTCGTCTGTCCACTCATCCATCCATTCATTTATCCATTCACATATCCATCCATTCATTTATCCATCCATCCATCCATCCATCCATCCATCCATCCATCCATCCACTTCACCCATCCATCTATTCATTAATCTTCCACTCACCCATCAATTCATCCATCCATTCATCTACCCATGCATCCATCCACCCATCTATTCATCCACCCACCTACCCATCCATCCATCCACCCATCCATCCATCCATCCATCCTTCCATCCATCCATCCATGTATCTCTAGAATTTCCGCAAGACAAAAATAGAACATAGGCCTAGATGTGTCTTTAAAGCCGTTTGAATACTATTTCGAAATTATAAAGTTTCTACTTTGGCTATTCAGAAACATTTTTGGAAAAGGCAGCCTTGTATTTATCAGCTAAGTGCCAAAGAGTGGGGTTGGATTCAAACTGCTAAGGAGCTGAGCAAGGCTAGTGTCCAGGTGGGGAAGGGGCCAGGAGCCTCTGTTTTGGGCTGAGTCTGCCCCAGATAGAGGGTCGGGCAGTCATTCCTCTCTTTGGAATGGCAATGAAGGACTGGAAACAAATGGCAGACTCCAGGTTGAGACTCATCTCTACATGGTGCTCCCGGCTGAAGCGGGCTCAGCCCAGAGCCAGCTGGGGCCAGGAAGGAATGAAAGCTGCTGAGGCCACACCCTTGGTGAAAAGAGCTCTCTGGGTCCTCTCATCCCGAGTTTCAGGAGCCATAAACAGCCAGTATTTCAGTGCCCTTCAGGAGAAAGAAGTGGATCAAAGATTGAGGGAGCCATGCAGACTTGCAGTGAATGCAGAGATACAGTCAGCTCTGTCCATAATGGAATAAAGAAGGGGCAGGAAAGGAAACCTCCACTTACTAGCTGGGAGTCCCTAAAATGTTCCACCTTGGTTTTCACACCTGTAAATGATAAATTATAAAAATTGCGGTATCATGGGCTTAGGGTGAGAATTGCATAAGGTAACAAGTGTAAGGCACTTGGCCCCTAACCTGGTGAAATGTGGCTGCTCAGGGAGTGACAGCTGTGAATGAGCAATTGTGTTCAGGAACAGTCGACAAGCAACCTCTCCAGAATGGCACCTGACTGGCTCATCTCCTACACCTTTGCAGGATATAACTAGAGTCCAGGAAGGATCGTAGCCCTACTGAGAACTTGAAAGATCCCAAGTTCCATCCTCAAAGCATCCTCGCTGCCGCATCATTACAAAATCCCCCTGATCCACCTTTTCAAAGGTACATGTTAACCTATCTATGTGGTGTGTGCTTACTGAGTGCCTGTGGGGCTGTCCAGCTCCAGCTCCCTGTGTTGAAGGGAGGAGCAAGGGAAGGGAAGGCTCTCCTCTCACCCTGGAGGGGCTTGTGGCTTGCTGGGCAGAGGAGACACAGTGCATCTTGCAGCCCTGGACAGGGCACCAAGCAATGTGTGGAACAAGGTTTCCATGCCTGCAAAGTGCAGGAAAGACGACTCAGGACAGAAACATGGACAGCCAAGAAGCTGGGGAAAATGTTCCCTTGTACTAACAAACAAAGCAATGCCTATAGCATTGTCAGTAACTTAACATTCTGTCTACACACATCCAAAGATTAAAACAACAGTAACGACAACATTCTACTCATGGTTGGGGTAAGTATAAGCAGGTATGAGCAGTAATGAAATTTGCTACAGTAGGCTGATATATTTGACAAGTTTGATTTACATAATTTTAACTGTGCATTTGTCCACCACACCCCTCCCCCAAAAAGGGAAAAGAAAGAAGGAGACAAGGAGGGAGGGAAGGAGGAAGGGAGGTACCAAGGAAGGGAGGGAAGGGAAAGAAAGAAGAAGAGAGGAAGGAAGGGAGGGAAGGAGGGAAGGGAAAGAAAGAAAAGGAGAGAGAGGGAGGAAGGGAGGAATGAAGAAAGGAAGGAAGAGAGGGAGCAAGAGAAGAGAGGAAAGAAGGAAGGAAGGAATTGAAGAAGGAAGGAAGAAAGGGAGATGATATGGTTTGACTCTGTGTCCCCACCCAAATCTCATCTCAAATTGTAATCCCCACATGTGGAGGGAAGGAAGTGATTGGATCATCGGGCAATTTCCCCCATGCTGTTCTTGTGATAGTGAATTCTCAGGAGATCCGATAGTTTTATAAGCATCTGGCATTTCCCCTGCTTGCACTTCTCTCTTTTGCAGCCATGTGAAGAAGGTGTCTGCTTCCCCTTCACCTTCTGCCATGATTTTAAGTTTCCTGAGGTCTCTCCAGCCATGCGGAACTGTGAGTCGACTAAGCCTCTTTCCTTTATAAATTACCCAGTCTTGGGAAGCTCTTTGTAGCAGTGTGAAAACAGACTAATACAGGAGGGAAGAAGGAAGGAAGGAGGGAAGAGAGGGGAGAAGGTAGAAAGGGAGGGAGGGAAGAAGAGAAGAAAGAGAAAAGGAAAGAAGAAAGGTAGAAAGAAGGAAGGAAGATGTACCTGGAGCCTGCCTTACCACCTGTCATTTCCCTCCAGGTGTGTGCTCAGGAGAGAGCACCTGAAGGGAGGTCCCGCTGCTTTCTCCCCAGAGCTGTTTCTTCTCTGGGTCTGTGTGGTGTGACCATCCCAAGGGCTGGGTCTGAGACTCGTGTTTAACGACCCATTCTCATACCAGATGTCCCCTAAAGCCTAACAGCTCCTAGCATAAGAACTGCAAAGATGGCTCTCCTTGCTACCCACCCCCACCTCGTACCCTCCAATCTGTTTTCCAAGGAGCAGTCAGAGAGATCCTTTAAAACAGGAGTCACTCAAGTCATGCCTCTGCTGAACATGCTCCACAATTTCCATTTTTCTCTGGAAAAAGTCCATATCCACCCAATGCCCTGCCTAGCTCACCTCTCTGGTCTCCTCCTATCCTTCACTCTTCCTGCCACACACTGGTCTTTGGACACATCAACCTCCTTTTTGTTCCTTCAACATGCCAGTTGTGCCTCCTTCTCAACTCATACATGGTGTTTCCTCTCCTGGGAATGCCCTTTCACCAGCTAGTTGCATAGCTCAATTCTCACTTTCTTCAAGTCACCTCTTCTCAATGGAGCTTCCTTTGACCATCTAAACCTCTATGGCACCCTCCTCCCAACATACTTCTCTTTTAGCCCTGCCTAGTCTTTTTTTTTTTTTCTATATTACTTATCATCCTCTAATGCTTTAGAAATTTTGTGATTGTTAGGCTTAATTTTCATTATCTGTCTCCACCAGAATAGCTTTTTACAGTGAATATATTGGTCTAGTTTTGTGTCTGTCCCATCTCCATCTCCTGGCACCGTGCCTGACACAGAGTAATTACTCAATAAACAGTGTTTGAGTTATTGCATGAACAAATGAATTACTGAATGTCAATTTCCAACACTGTATTTTCTTAAAAGATGCACCAGGGCAATTTTGATGACAAGCATTTTGTATTAAATGCACTGACTTCAGAAATATCCCTCCCGCTTCATTTGAGAGTCTATTATAGAAGGTTTCAGAAGATAATTTGGCAACATGTATTAAGGGCTTAAGAGTTTATCCTAGGAAAATTTCACGTGTGTTCACGAATGTTGAACAAAACTACGGGCAGCTTAGTGTTGTATCAAATACAAAAAATTGGAAGTGATCTAACTACCCAATAATGATTGAGGTGATAAAAAAGTATGGTCTGCACAAACAATGGAGTATTATTTGGCATTTAAAATGCAGAGGAGTAGAATTGTTTCTAAATAGAAAATGTTTATAATATATGAGTTGAAAAAGTTGTGAAACAGTAAATAGATTAGAATATCACATTTAAAAAAGAAACATACATATATTGATATACACGTATATGTATTATTTATGTGAATATGCATATACATATATCTATATCTATACATATATAAATATTTCCCAGGAAACTATAATTTTATATGCTATGGTGTTGTCATTAGTGATTTCTAAATTGTTACTTTTTTGTGAATTATTTTAGTACATTGTTTCACATTACCTTATCTTTTTCTCTAATTTTTCTCAAAGATCATGACTTTTTTTTTTTTTAAACAGAGTGTCGCTCTGTCACCCAGGCCAGAGTGCAATGGCACAATCTCATTTCACTGCAACCTCCGCCTCCGGAGTTCAAGTGATTCTCCTGCCTCAGTCTTCCAAGTAACTGGGATTACAGGTGCCACCAGCACGCCCAGCTAATTTTTATATTTTTAGTAGAAATGGGGTTTCACCATGTTTGTCAGGCTGGTCTCAAACTCCCAACCTCAGGTGATCTGCCCGCCTTGGCCTCCCGGAGTGCTGGGATTACAGGCGTGAGCCACCGCGCCCAGCCGTGACTTTTTAATGGGTATTTGTATTTGGCAAATAATGGCAATAGATGGTATTTCCAGTAAAAACTGGATCTCAGTGCTTTCTAACATCTAATATTGTAATTTGACTTAAAAGAAGACACTTCCAACTTTTATTTCTTAAATCATCGTCTCTGGTCTTCTGAGGAAGGAAGGGAGAAGCCAGGCTGGCCAGGCTGAGCTGGAACAGGAGCGGACCCTGCTCCAGGACTGCTCTTCCACTCAGCAGTTGAATGAATACGGTGGCGGCCACTGTGAAGCCCAGGTTAGTTCCTGCTCAGTTTAATCACACAGTCCTGCACTCTAGTCAAAGGGGATTAGACATAAGCGGAGATGCCATGGCCACGTAGACTGCTTCTTTGGAGTATGGCTTATTTATTCCTTTAGTCAGTTTTTTCCCCAAAATCATTGATATTTCCGTATTAAATTATATGACTTATCAAGAAAAATCAACTTTTCAAACATAGTGAATTTTTTTTTTAGCAATTTGACATTCAGTATGTGTTTATTTTTATGTAGGCAAATCTTTTAAGCTTTTCCTATTTTTGATGCCTCCCTTCATTTTTAGATTTAACATGAACATTTAATCAACATGCAGAGATTGGTATTTTTAAGTCATTTTATAACTTTCTAATCCATCTGTATATGTGTGTATGTGTATTTGGGCGATAGTACAGGGTGAGAGAATAATTTAAGCGTTATTAAAAATTAAATGATTACAATTTGCCCCAGACCTACCTGTAGAGTAATTTTCTGTAACCCACTCTCCTGAAATTATACTTCTAACGCTGTACTAAGCTGTATTCATTTATTACTAAATATTCAATAGGCACCTATCACAACGCTGTCACAGTGTTAGGATCCTTTCAAGATTTTCTTCTTTTTAATTGGTTTTTCTACATTTTTTTCCCCTGACACCACACTGCTTTAATTATACTTGCTTTAAAGTACAGTTTAATATGTGGTATTTGAAAGCCCACTTTATCACTATTCTTTTTGCAAAATAAACTTCAGTTTTCAGAGTAGTTTTGGATTCACAGACAATTGAGCAGAAGGCACAGAGATTTCCGAGGCACCCCCCTTCCCACACACATGCACAACCTCCCATTACCAACAGCCCACACTGTAGTGGTGCATGCATCTGTTACAATTGATAAACGTACATTAACACATCGTCACCACCCAGAGTCCGTAGTTTACACGAGGGTTCGCTCTTGGTATTGCACATTCTATGGGCTTAGGTAAATGCCTAATGAGTATCCAGCATCACAGTATTGTACAGAATTGTTTCACTGCACTAAATATCCTCTGTGCTTTGTCTGTTCACCTGCCTCCCTCCAGTCTTCCACTGGACACTACTGATCTTTTTACTATCTCCATCATTTTGCCTTTCCCAGAATGTCATAGAGTTGAAATTACACAGTAGGTAGCCTTATCAATTTGGCTTCTTTTACTTAATAATATGCATTTAAGTTTTCTATGTATCTTTTTATGGCTTGGTAGCTCATTTCTTTTTAGCCTTGAATGATATTCCAAAGTCAAGATGTACCAGGCTTTTAGTTTATTTATCCATTCGCCTACTCAAGAACATATTGGTTTTGGCAATTCTTAATAAAGCTGCTATACATTTCAATGTCCAGGTTTTTTTTTTTTTTCTTTTTTCTTTTTTTTTAGACATAAGTTTTTGAGTCCTTTGGGTAAATACCAAGCAGTGAGATTGAAGGATGGTATGGTAAGAGTGTGTTTAGTTTTGTAAGAAACTCCCAAACTATCTTCCAAATTGGCTGTTTCATTTTGCATTCCCACCAGCAATGAGAGAGAGTTTCTGTTACTTCATGTTCTTACCAGCATATGGTGTTGTCAGTGTTATCCATTTTAGCCATTCAAATGGGTATGTAGAGGTATCTAATTGCTGCT